AACGGGTAGCAGCGGGATGGGCTGGCAGCAGACGCCGGACAGACGGTCGGAGGCCAGGAGGCTGGTGATCCCAGGGACGGCAGGAGCCGCGTGCTTGGAGAGTCGACCAAGAGGAGAGGACCGTGGGAGCGGTGAGATAGAGGCCGGGAGCAGGGACAGCCCAGGACCCAGCGCGGCTCGGGCTTGTGAACTGGGGGTGCCCCAGGACCCCTGAGCAATGCACCCGGTTACATCTAGAATCAAACTACTTGGAGCTGGGTCTATGAAATTTAGCTTAATGTGCTTCCTCCACTTGTTTTTGAGTTTTTTAACTTTAGAATGTAGAGACAACTATTCTTCCTTGGACCTCAGGTGTGGCCTAAACCTTTATCTATGAAGGACTATGTCTGAAAGAGCCTGTCTCTGTGTGTCAGGGCAGACCTGAGATGATAGTTTTCTACTCTGCATTATAAGTACATCAAGGGCATTGTAACATCATAGACCAGATTTTTATCGTGAGAAATACCTTGTGCAACCCTACTGACTTCAATCTATGGCCTAATAAAATTATATATGTTTTTCTCTGCTCGGGTAGCCTCAACATGTTTACAGGCATTGTTAAGGGCAGCTGGATGGTGACTAGTTTGAGGGAGAGGGTTAATATAAAAGAAACTTGGGTGAGCCAAAGCTGCTGATGTATCTTACTTATTAATAAACTGTCTTCCCAAAAAATGGGTCCCAATTCTACAAGGAACTCTACTACATGAGCAGACCCCAGAATCTGCATAAAGTCCTACTGAAGACCAGGGCTGAAATCCTGAGCCAGCAGGATTCAACAGAAATTTTGCTGTTGACTTGAATGGGGCTAGGAATTCACATCAGTGATCTGCCTGTGTTGAGCTCATAGTAAGATCAAAGATGTGGGTTGGGAGATGATATAATGCAAAATGTGAATTCTCAGTGAGCAACTGATCCCAAACTCAAACTAATGTTGAGGATTAATGCAATATGTTGCCTTTAACGTGGTTGTATGGATTTGTTTGTCGAGCAAAATTTGGCCTCATAAATCAAATAAAGATTACAGCTCACACACTCAGATACACCTGGCTGTCACAAATATTAAACTTTATGACGCCATACATCTGGATTCTTCATCTCTTCTTTTCCCACAGATATGTTCTTTTTAGGAAAAGACCTTACATATCTCAGAGATATTAAAGCATTGTTCCTTGAGTAATTTTAAAATGTTTGAATGTGTAGGAGAAACCCAGAATAACATTAGTAAACTGGACTTGCTTAAGTTAGAGTAGTTTTATGATTTAAATATTTAATACCAAATAATAGTAAACAATGCAAACCTGCTTTGCAAAATAATTTAAAAAATCAATTCAGTTAAAATAAATATTTTTGGCTCAAACCACAACCGAAAATCAGTTTATTTATAGTCCTCTGTTTTAATCCAAGCATTTTCCATTATTTAATAGAAGAGAAAACAGCATCAATTTATTGTATAGCAAAAGAGTACTTAAAGCAAAGTATGCAAAAAGAGACACACTTTGGTGGTAGCAATAATACACAATTGTCTGACATAGGAATTAACTCTTTGAAAGTGAGGGAGCGGGGAAGAGTGATTCATTCTGAGAGGAGACACTTGCTGGTACCATTGCCATCGGTCTGGGTTACTGCCAAGTGGTATAGGCAGCTTCCCAGGAGTCTTGCTGGGACAAGCAGTGGGAAAAGTTTCCTGAGTCAGTGCCTCTGTTCTGATCAATAAGGCTTTTGTTTTGGGTTGTAGATCCCCCTAGATTTTAGGGAACCAAAGAAAGGTTGTCACCACCTTGTGTAATACTAACATAAGACAGATTATGTAACACCCTCAAAATGCAGACTACTCTTTTTGAAAGGTTTGTAAGAATCTGGAGAGAAACTGGGCTCAATGGATTGCATTAATCTTCAGCATAGTTCTGAGTTCAGTTTGCTCAATCAGAATTCACATTTTACATTACATCTCCCAGTCCACGTCCTTGATCTTACAATGAGCTCAACACAGGCATACTCTGGGTTTTTTTGTTTTGGGTGCTGCTAAGACTCCATACTACTACTGAGGATCTTGTAAAGATCTAAAGCAGTGTAAGATGTACAGCTCCCTGCACCATTAAGTATTAATGATGGCATCATCTAGTCAAGGGAAAAAGAAATTCCTCCACAGGCATCTTGCTGAGTAAAAAAGCTTTTTTAGTTTACTTTCAATACATGTCACCAGCACCTGCTTTTATTATTACAGATTGAACTTCTTTAGTCTGGCACTCTATGGTCCGGTGACATCTGTGGTGTCTGGTATGGTTTTAGTTAGCTGGATGTCCACTTATCAATGGTGTAGGCAAGTTTCTCATAGTCCTGTAAAGTTTGCTTATAGCCACCAGTCCTGGCTCTCAGTGTTCTGTACTGTTATTTAGCTCTTACTGACCCCTAAATGTCTTCTAAGAGCCCAGCAAGCAATGGAAGTGTTGGTAATGCTGCCAGACAATATTGACCTCCCATGGTTCAGCAAATTATCTAGTTTGGCACTGGTCAGATCTTGACGGTGCTGAAGTAGAGAGGGTCAACCTGCACTGTGATTACAGGCAACTCTGGAAAAGTACAGACAAGTATCTAATGATTTGTGGAATAAAAGTTGAAGGAAAGTTTGTGAACATTCAGGAAGAATTTTCTCACACATGAAAATCTGTCAGTGTACCCATTCGCATACAAATGCTGATGTAGCCTGAAGAAAATTGTCAAATCAAATCCAACTCCTCCAAATACAGATCTAATCTGCTAGACTGTGTTTCCACATCAGTCGCAGGTCAAACTAGTTTGATCACTAATAAAAGGCATTACTCAAATCAACAGCCTTCATCTTAATTGTTTTTTATTCCTCTCAGAGATTAAGGCTCTTCATGTCCATCAGACTACAATCTTTAATGGCAGATACTGTGAAACAAGTAGTCCAATAGCACCTTAGAAACTAACAGAAATACATAGAATCATGAGATTTCATGGGTAAACCCACTTCATCAGATGAACTGGAGTGGAAATATATACTCAGAAGACGTACATGTCAAGTGTAGGACCTGTGTTAATGAGGCTAATTAAGTGGGCCAGATGTGTCCCATTCATGCCTTTTGATGGGAAAATGTGGATGTTAGAGGTAAGAGAAATTGGCTTTGTAATGCACCAACCAGTTAATATCTTTAAGTCCAGGGTATCAGTGTCAAATTTGAAGATGAATTCCAGTTCTGGATACTCTCTCTGTAATTGGTTGATGAAGAGATCTTCTGGAAAACTTCTAAAAGAGAGCGTCCACACAGCAAAAGCTCATCAAAAAAGCGATCTGCTTTTGTGAAAGATAGCATCCACACTGAATGGACACTATTTCCCATTAAATCTGTGATTACTATGGACGGAGTGGGCACCTGTGCTTTTTCCTTTTTCCTCTTTTTTTTTTTTTGAAAGAACTCCCTTTCCTCTCCACACATGCCTTTTTCCAAAAGAGCTCTTCCGGAAAAAGACTTCTTCGTCATAGAAAGAGATTTACCAATGTCAGAAAAAACCCTCTGTCACTTATTTTTCGAAAGAACATAATTGCAGTGTGGACATAAGTGAAGTTTTTTCAGAAAAACTACTGTTTTTCTGAAAAAACCTCTGCAGTTTAGACATACCTGGAGATGGTGGCAGAGAATATTTTGAAGAAAAAAATAAGATATCTTTGTTCCTGCCCCTATTTCAGAAGTGGATAATTTAGATCTTGGACCCACTGTGATCTTTCTCTTACTGTCCCTAACATATCTCTCATTAGGATCTAAAAAATGATCTATTTCAGCCCAGGGAACTTCTGCCGACACAGTAATAGTTCTCTTCAGATCGTACATCCAAACTAGAGCTGATAAAGGTAGCAGTGCTGATCTTGTAAGCTTAGCTATAATGAGATTCCAGCAAGGCCTAAAATCCATAATCCCAGACGTGAGACTGGCTTGTGGAACAGACTTAGGTCTTACAACCAGAGTCATGGAAGACAGGTCCCAATCAGAAGGATTTGATCAATCTGATCCATGAGGTCTGACCTTGCTAACAATGGCTGCTTTCTCCCTCATCATCATCTTCAGAATCAACACAGTTAAACCAATGGACTTGATATATGGTCCTTTGCTATTGCATGACCAGTTGGTGTGTGCAACCTGTTGGCAGCAATGACTGGACGATTCAGTGGGAACTGTCTCCACATCATGGGGCCAGAGCCAGAGCAGACCAACAACACAGATATCAGACAACTTAGGCACCTTAGACTTATTCGGTGATGAAGCACATGTTGATATGGGACTTCAAGCCTTTGGCTCTGAAAATCTCCCAGAACCAGAAGATCTAGCATCAAGAGCTTCCTTGAATAAGAGTCCCTGCACCCTGTTTTGCCTGCAAGTGCGAATATGCAGTTATCTTGAAGAACTCCAGTTACAAGCAAGTAACTTCAATTTAGAAAGCTTATTCCCAAATAAATCTATTAGTCTTTACTAGGCCTAGATTAGGGGATAACTTTCAAGTAGGAATAAGAGATCCTCCGGAAAAGGGCTTTATTCCGGAGGATCGCGCCAGTCTAGACTCTTTTTTCCCGGCTTTTCCCCAAGCCGGAAAAAAAGCGGCGGCCATGTTTATTTAAATCCACGGGGGATATTTAAATCCCCCGCGGATTTCCCTATGCTGACTTACCTGCTTTGCATCCCTTTTCCGGAATTTGGGGCCAGTCTAGACGTAGCCCTAGACTATGGGTGCTAATGTCCAAAAAAAGTAGATTGGTCCAATTACCAATGTACATAAGATGTTCATATTAATTTATCAAAAGCAACCTGCTTTAATTTGTGTTTTTAATCAGCTTCATGTTCTGCAAAGTGTGCTCTAACTTTCCTTAGATATTGGAAGTAATATTATTGTCACTAATTTTATGGATTAATGCTGTATCCTGTAATTTCTTCTTCAAAAATTGGGAACATTCTAAAAGCAAAATAGCACATTCTTTTTTAAAAAGTGGATTGGTCCAATTACCTGGGTGAAAGAAGGGGGAAAGAAACAACCCATTGCTTTGCAGAAACTCATTTCTTTACAGGAGAATGCAATAGTTACCATATTTAATGAAATATTATAATGTTACAAACAGAAGTCTTGATTGAAAGCCTTTGGCAATTAGTGTGAATCTTTCCATCAGGACAAGAAGCCGGTTCTGCAAACTCAAATACTATAGCAATAGAAACCATTAGATGAATCTAAGTAAAAGAATATATTGTACTGTAACAAATACATTTCAAAACAATGGTTCAGTAACAAGATTTTAGTATAGCTCTGCTTTATTATCTCTTGATTGAGAAGCAGGAGTCCCTCCAATTTAGGGCACAAGTCATAAAACAACAAGTCAATGAAGTTTGTGTGTGTGGTTCATGTCCCCTAGCATGAGGCTTGCGCACAACTACCTGAAGGACAAACAGCTAAATATGTTCCATGAGTAGAACTTTACCTGATAAATAGAACTTCATTTTGTTGTTTGTCTCTGTTCCACAGATGATTTCTCTACTTCTCATAGAAAAACAGGCATTCATATTAGGATATTAATAGACTATGTGAGCTGCTTTTCTGAAAACATAGGAAATCATAAATTATGAAGGGCAACTATTCATTTCAATTCAAAAGTGAATAAATAACAAATAGTAATGTCACTCATGCGTTGAATCCTTCCTGTTGAAAAATTGGCTCATTATTCCTTCGTATAACTTACAAAGTTTCCATAAAACAACTATTTCATTCATAGCTATACAACATTTTTTTCTCTGCCAATATGGGAGCAAAAATTCATAACTGGAGTTTGATTAACTGGATCAGTCAAAGGACTGGTAACAATACATAGACCCTTGAAGGAAAGATTTTCTGAAGTGATTAGTCATTTGGAATGCCTCAGTAATCAAGTGCTCAAACTGAGACTCTTTCAAGGAAGAGTTTCAGAAAATGTTGAGCACTCACCCTCTGAAAATCAGTTCCCTTCAAGATGTCTAAGTTTGGACATCCAAAAGCACTAATCTTTTTTGACTATCTTGAGGTGAAATCTTGCTCTCACTGAAGTCAATGGGAGTTTTACAATTGACATCAATAGGGTCAGGATTTCAACTTTAGTCTTCATCTTTAGGTAACCACTACAAATAAAGACCAAGGGAGTTTTTTATATATGCTACTGAATTGGAAGACCATAAAATTGCCATACAGAATCATACCTGTGAGCCAGCTTACTTCAGTATCTTATCTCCAAAATATCTGGTGATGGGCACTATCATATAATGGGCCGAAGAACCCTGTAGTGGATGGAACTACCTACAGTTAAGATTTTTTTCCCTCACCCTATCAATTAGTGGCTGGCTTTTTGTAAGTGTCTAGTGTGACTATGGATATTTTTAATATGCATATAAATGTCTTATCTCTCTCTCTCTCTATAAAAAGTTGCCAGGCAGCTTTGCCAGTCCCCAAACAGTGTCTGGGTCAGGGAGGCTATGAGAGGGCAGAGCCTGCGGGACGCAGAGTGATGTGATATCTTCACTCTGTCGTCCTGCAGGAAAAACTTTTTTATATAGAGAGAAAGAGAGAGTTTATTTACTAATTTTGCATTGCCTGTCAATTTCATTGCATCTGTCCTTTTTCTTCTTTATTTATTTACATGAGAATGAATAGGAATTCTCAATTTCACCTTATGTCTGTTAATTTATTTTTTCTGTCTATGTTTTAACACAGTTTTCCAGGTAGGGGTGCAATTCTATTTTATTTAAATGTTAAATGAGGATGGTGATCTCTTTGAACAGGCGAGCTAGCTGACCCTGTGACAAAAAAAATACTAACATGGTTGTCAGTAATTGTTTTCCTTCTTCACAACCCACTTGGTTAAGAGATGCTTAAATGGACCTGTTGGAGAGTTATACAAACAAAGATGTTTTTGGTTTATGGGCAATTCTAAGTGTGGGGTATAATCCCCCACGCAACACCCCTTTTTAAGTCATGCAAAAATTATTTTAAAAATTTTTATGAATTGAAAAGCGAAAAGAATTTTTTTGAGCCAAATGAAATATTTTGTTTCAGTTTTGGGTGTTTTTGTAAAGTTTTAAAAATATTTCTAATAAATGTGGAGGAAATGTTGGAAGTCATTTTGAATAAAAAATTGTTGTGTGTGTTCTTTAAAAATGACTTGGGAAGGGAGAGAGGTTCAACACAATTTGGCAAACCAATGTGAAATTCACACCCTGAACCCCCTCGTGCATCCTAACTCCCTCCCAATCCCTGCACTCCTACTCCAGCCTATAACCTCTCCTGTACGCCAAATCCCTTATTGCAACCCTCACCCCAGAGCACACATCCCCAGCCGGAGCCCTCACTCTTCTCCATTCTGGCTCCACCCCAGAGCCTAGGGGATTCCCTGATCTTCTCCCATCCCCTGTAGGGCCATACTAGGCCCCAATTCAATTTTTTCTGTGGATTAATGACCCCTGATTTTTTTTAAAATAAAAGGTTTCCCACCCCTGCTCTAGCCTGTAAACTACCTTAGCCTACAATTGAAGCACATTAGTACAGTAGTCTAGGGAAGCTTTCCCCTCTGCTCCTCAGCATGTTACTGTTCTGTGGCTAAACAGACCTTCATTCTCCAGGTCTCTTAATCTGGCACTTCTCAGAAGCACTAAATTAACATAAAAAAAAAATACTGCCACCGTCTGAGCACTTCAGAGTGAGCCAAAGATTTTCCTCTGGGCGTGTATAAACAATTTGAATTCTTTTCTCCTTACAGAATCTCTAAAATGGGATTTTTTTTTCCTGTATGCAAATGGAACAATACAACTTATTGGCAGCCTTCATGGTAATTAGTCCATTTCAGTAAATAATTATTGGATTCAATATGTATTATTCATTTATGTTCTCTTTCTCAAGTAATATAAGAGCTAATGTTGAAAATTTGAATATTATGTCATGAATAAGACAGTGTGTGTAATGTAGCATCTCAGTTAGCAATTACTTGTTCTCTTTCATAAGTCCAGCACAGTGTCTGTAATATGAACATAAAACGGATGTTGCACTGATTACTTCTGAGGAAAATGTGGACATTGAACTAACATAGTGTAATTTTTTTACTTCACGTATTATTATGATCAGACCTAGAATTTTACAAAGCTTTGTTTTAGTTTAGTGATCCTGAAAAGTGCCATATTGACAGCCCTCATATTGAATTAAGACCAGAAGGGACCACCACCACGATCAACTAGATCATAGGTTCCCAAACTGGGGGTCGTGAAGAAATTCCAGGGGTGGTATAAAGTGACCCAGTCCCCCTCCTGTCAATCCTTCCCCAAGAAAGAGCTCGGTCCATCTGGTAAAAAAATTCAGAAAATACCATGTGAAATGTCTGGTATTTTCTGTTTTTCCTGGCTCGGAAATCCGCCGGAACACGCGCAGCTTGGGCTGGCTGGGGGAGAATGGAGCATCCTGGGCAGACTTCAAAATGGCCACCTTAAAAGGGCAATGTCTGCCCTGCTCTTAAAAGGGCAACCTTTTTTTTTTTTGATCAACAACTTTTCCCCTGGAGTACCGGCACCTTTTTTTTACATTGGTCCTGGGAATTAAAAGGGCTGCGACTGTTTTTTTGGCCTGGGTCAGTTCTTTTTTTTATTTTTATTTTATTTTATTTTTTTTTTTGGTCAACAAGTTTTGCTGCTATTTTTTTTTGTTTGTTTCTCAAAAATTAAAAAATAGGCATGATGCCAAACAGTTTGGGGACCATTGAATTCTAGACTGACCTCCTGCACATCACAGATCAGGGAACCTCTCCTCTGCACACCTGTAATAGGTGCATAACCTCTGACTGACTTAGTGAATTCTGAAATTATGACGTAAAGATTACTCTAATCTAAACCAGATGGTGATCCATACCCCATGCTGCAGAGGAAGGCACACTCCTCCTCCTCCCACCCTGAAAAAGCTCTGCAAATGTAACCTCTACAATGAATTTCCGTATTTAGCACACACAATGGGAAGCCTTTTAAGAAAGACCAAATATACTGAATCAGATGAAAGGCCAAAGGGAATAATCAGCAGAAGAGACAAGCATAATAAAGACACAGGACAAGGGGTCAAGAGGCAAGTAATCAGTAGTCAAGAGGCAAGCTCCCAAAGGAGATCATCAGAAAAGTCAAGTAATCATTTTATATAAGGAGTGTGGTCTGAAGCAAATATTGGGTGGACAAAGAAAACAAAGCCATTTCCTTAGTGCCTCTCAGGAGAAGGAAAAAGGATATCACAGAACGAGTGTATGATACTCTGAAGAATGAAGGAGAATTACCACAGTTTTTGTTCAGAGAGCTGTCTGACTTTTTCTGTAGGGCGAGGGATAAGCATTTTCCAAACAGGTAAATAATCACAAATAATATTTGTTGATTTTCCACAGAAAATTTTGACAATTTGGTGCAAATTTTGAAAACCACCATCACTAATGGCTCAAAGGTTTCTGCAGTCAGCTCCTTGAGTATTCTAGAATGCATTTAATCAGGTTCTGGTGTCTTGAAGACATGTACCTCGTCTAAGTAATTTTAAACTCATTCTTTCTCTATTTTAGCCTCTGACTCTACCTCATTTTCACAGACATTCACTGTGTTAGACATCCCATCACTACTAACCTTTTTGGTGAAAATGAAACACAGAAATAATTTAGCACTTTTGCCATTTCCACATTTTTTCCCCCTTGGTCTTCCTCTTGTTTCTAATATATTTGTAAAAAGTTTATGTTTATAATTATAGCTAATTTAGTCTCATTTTGTGCCATGACCTTTGTAATTTTGTCCCTACATACTTGTGTTATTTGTTTATATTCATCCTTTGTAAGCTGATGTGGTTTCCACGTTTTGTAGGACTCATTTCTAGTTTTTAAATAATTTTAATATTTTCTGGTTAACCAGGATGGTCTCTTGCCATACTTCCTATCTTTCCTATGTAGTGGGATAGTTTGCTCCTGTACCCTTAATAATGTCTCTTTGAAAAACTGCCAACTGGCTTCAATTGTTTTCAATTGCTATGGAATCTTACCTACTATCTCCCGAGGGTAAGTCTAGACTACACACTTCTTTCGAAAGAGATTGTCTAGACAGCCACAATCTGGAAGCTCTCTTTCAAAAATGCCCTGTTTGAAGTCAAGAATGCCTTTTTTTGAAAGAGCTTTAGAAAAAAGGTGTTCTTCCTTGCAAAATGACATTTACCACTGTCAAAATACCACCGCGTTCTTTCAATTTAATTTTGAAAGAACGCAACAGCAGTCTAGATGCAGGTGAAGTTTTTTTTTTTTAAAAAAATAGGGGCCACTTTAAAAAAAAAAAAAACTCCTGTAGTCTAGACATAGTCTGAATTTGCTAAAGTCTGCTACCTCAGCATTCATTATCTTTATTGTGCTGTTCTCCCTCCTACCATTTCTTGGAATAACAAACTGTGTCATTTCTTGATCACTTTCACCTAAGCTACCTTCCATTTTCAAATTCTCAACTAGTTCCTCCCTATTTGTCAAAAGTAAATCTAGAACAGCTTCTCCCCTAATAATTGTTTCCACCTTCTGAAATTAAAAATGGTCTCCAATATATGCAAAGGACTTGTTGGATAATCAGTGCCCTACTGTGTTATTTTTCCAACAGATGTCTGTGTAGTTGAAACCCCCATCACCATCAAGTCCTGTGCTTTGTATGATTTTTTTTAGTTTAAAACTCAAGAGGTTTGGGGAATGATCCTGCACTATTTCATTGCAAGCACTTTAAAACAAACTTGATTGTGTAAGCAAACAGCTCCACGCTGTGGTTACTGGGGTTAATAACCACAGCCAAAAATTATACAAGTTCACTTACTTTAACCTTTCCCCCCAAAATATACTGGAAGCAACATGCTTTCAAAATAACTTCTCATTAGTCCAACCCTTGACTGATACACAATAACTTCAAATTGTGAAATACCAGAGAAGAAAGTGTAAAGCTTGAGAATCCCAGTCCTCAAGAAAGGCTGAATTATGCAGCAGAAAAAAAATAAACCTGTCAGTTACAGAAATCTGTAATACTACTACTACTAAATTATTTATTCATTATTATTATTTTATTTTATTAGGATAAACTAATATATCCACCTGGGAAGGAAAACTCCCTGCCACTCAATGTGCAGCACTTCTATTAGTCCTGCTGGACTACAAGTGGAAGCAAATCCATTTCTAGACTGCAGTAAGCTTTGAACCTATTCTTTGAAAGGAATTTTAAATGTATCAGAAATGTAGCAGCCTTGCTCTAACCTTTCTTAGTAAATTGACATGATTTTTTAAAATCTCATATAGTGTGGCTCCTGCTTCCCCCCCCCTCCCCACACACACACACACACTTCTTAATTTCCATTTTAAAAAAACAAAAGTTCTTCTGTCAATAACTTGATTTGGCTGCTGGATGCAGGAGTCATAACAGGAGCAGCCACACAGGTTGTACATTCCTAGCAGTGCAGCTAAGTTCAGATGAAGAGCTTTTCACTAATTGCAAGTGACCACAGCATGTTTGGGATAGTGGAAGAACAGAGTCCACCTATTCCTTGTGAGCTTCAAGGGGTTTTCCTCTTGCACCTCGATGAACTTCATGGCTCTAGTTGTAAAGGAGGAACAGCATTAGAGCTTCAAACTGCAGGCTCTTTAAACTAAGTAATGTTAAGTAAACTGGGGAAGAATATGGCCATACATTAGATATTATACATCGTGACTTCAGGTCGTCATTCTCAAGACCATCATCAGACCATGGTTCTGTTCAACAGAATCCAAGACAGAATCCTTTGGAAATAGATGACACAAACTCTTTAATTTGGTGTTATTATTATTATATAATACCAACAATCACTGGCACTTTGCAGACAAATATGAATCATAGAATCATAGAATACTAGGACTGGAAGGGACCTTGAGAGGTCATTGAGTCCAGTCCCCTGCCCTCATGGCAGGACCAAATACTGTCTAGACCATCCCTGATAGACATTTATCTAACCTACTCTTAAATATCTCCAGAGATGGGGATTCCATAACCTCCTTGGGCAATTTATTCCAGTGTTTGACTACCCTGACAGTTAGGAACTTTTTCCTAATGTCCAACCTAAACCTCCTCTGAGGTTGTTTAAGCTGAGGATAGAACAAGAAGCAATGGGTCCAAACTCCTTCATCCGTATTCCCAGAGACCTGTAGTCACTCTTGATCCACTCAATGTTACACCTCACAGTGTCATTAGTGCCCACATGCATGAGTAGCATGGGGTAGTAGTCAGAGGATAATCCTCGACAATGCCTCCGTAACATCTCGGATACGGCCCCCCGGCAGACAGCATCCCTCCCGAGATGAAATGTCAGGGAGACATATAGACGCCTCCGTCCCCCTCAGAAGAGAGTATCTGACCACCACTACCCTAAGTTTCCTATTCGCAGTGGTGGCAGCATACCTCCCAGCTTTGAGGGTACGGGCTTCTCCTCCTCTGGTGTAGGGGGTGATTGTTTATCTCCTGTATAAAGAAGAGCATAATGGTTTCCTAGTACCACAGCGGGAGGGTTCAGAGCAGGGGTGGAGCAGTGCTGCTGCCAGAAGTAATCAGCTGCCACTGTCCACCCTGAGCCGTCTTGTGGTGTGTCCACAGTCCTGTGTATCGGGACAGCTACCTCAGCTGTCTCCTCATGGACACAGTCCAGGAATTCCTCATGGATGCAGGTGCTCCTCAACCTAGCCACCTCCTCCTGTAGCTCTCCCACCTGCTGCTTGAGAGATTCCACCAGCAGGCACCTTTCGCATTGGATGATCTCCCCAGCCTGGATATCAGGAAGTGGGAATTGCAAGCCACAGTCCCTGCAAAATCACACCAGGATCTGGGTAGAGGCATCCATGCTCAGGCTCTCTGTCTGGCTACAGGTGCCAGTGAAGGAGACAGAAGCAGTGCTGGCACAGGTGTTGTGGGTCTCCAAACCATCGTAGGCCTCCCTCTGTCAAACTCCCTCTCAAACTCCCCTGTCTGCAGTTCCTATCTGCTTCACTCTCTGATTGCTCTGCCTCTGGCTTTTAAAGCCTGCTTGCCCAGGCCAGGCCTGCCCCCTCGTGAGTCACGCAGGGGAAGGCTGACCAGCTGCAATCAAGAGAAGACAAGATCCCTGCCACAAACAGCTAATATATTTTAAAAGAGCACAGTATATCTAGTTTTTTGTAAAGTAAATCCTTAAAATAAAGCATTATGATAGTTTAACCCAAAGAGGTAGGCACAATATCATGCTTGGAATGTAACTTGCTTACCAATTTCCAAAAGTTATGAAAAATATTACATGATTTTAAATGAAGAAAAACAAGTGGCCAGAACCATTTTGTGTTGCACTGCTGGTCCATTCAGATTATAGACCAAATATAACCAACCCAAGAAAGACCACAATGATTGTGAAGATCACTGGAGAGCAAGGGGC